TCTTTTATTGCCTTCAACGTTACAAATCAATTACCATAAAATCACCTTAATACAATGATTTGAATTACCCACAATTTAATTAATTAAAATAAAGATTAGTGGACCAAAAATTAAAACGTTTTAAAACGTAAACTAACAGTGGTAGAATAAGGAAAACATTGTAATCAAAAGACAATATGAGAACAAAATGAAAGAAAATCCACGGCTTTCCTTTAAAATGAAACTATTAGCCTTCAAAATAATGGAAATGAACATATAAATATGATCCAAATTTATTGAAATAAAAATATAAAAAAATAACATAAAATTAGAATTTTTATAAAAAATTAAAAATACAAATTTGGTGGAAGTATAATCTTTAATCTTTATATACCATTGGATTAAAAAAAAATCAAATCATTATCTAAAAACATGATATTTCGAATTAATTTTGTGAAATTCTATAAATATAATATATTTCAAGGAATTAATACTAAAAAAATACATAGAAATACGAAAATAAAAACATAATATAAAAAAATTTGAAAATATATACCTAATATAAATTAGGGTCAAAATACGCGTTGCAAAGAACACATTGTTTGGATTGAGCGCAAGCAATTTTTTTATCTTCATAAAGTACGAACGACTTTATTTAATAAACTGCATGAAAACAATTAAAAAAGTATATTAAAATTAAAACCCAAAAGAAAGAAATACAAATAGTACTAATATGTATATATAAAAATAATTATGAATATACTATGCATATATACTTATAATAATCTATAAGAAATGATAAAAAAAATGTAATATGAAACTGTATAATACTTTGTAATGGAATGGTGGTAGATAAAAATGAAATGAACATTGAGGGGTTTATATAGTATTGAACATGAACTTAATTCTATGAAAAAATTAAAAATTCAAAAGATTTATATATTAGTAAATGAAATCAAATCAAACAAATAAAGGAAACAACCCAAAAAAATAAAATAATAACTTGTAGAAAAAAATCTTGCAATAAAAAAAAATTAAATATGAAGATATGATTTTTATTTTTTACCATTGAATTTTGAATTAAAGTGTAAATTAAATCAATCAAAGATGATATGAAGGAATCTTGGAATATTAAAGACTCCTTTGTATTGGTGATTTGATATTTTAAATATGTAATCTATATAATCTATATAATATATAAAGAGAGAATAAACAATTGAAGTTTATTGCATCTTCAATTTTGATCCCAAATCTTTTCATCTCTTTTATTTGTGGACTTCTTTCCTTAATTAATCCTTATTACATTTTGTCTAATTTATTATTTAACTTATTTAAAAAAATGATTTTTTTATTACATTTATGTTAATTATAAAATAAATTTATATTGATATTTGATAAGGAAATTTCAAATTTCCTTTGATTTGGTCAATCATATCTTTTATTTTTTCTTACAAATTTGAATATCAGCATTCATGTTAATTATTATAATGCTAATTATATAATAAATAGTTATTTCCTTATTTATACATATTTAACTTAATTATCATACTCAATACAAGTATAAAACCACATTTCCCATCCAACACCAAAGCAAAATTGTCCACCCGTTTTTATCTTCATCTTCACCTCATTCCGATGCCAGAAGCAAGAAATGAAAGAAGACAAAGTTGGCTGATGATATTTTGTTATTGTTGTTTTTTCCGTTTTTATTATTATAATTTTTATACAATTTTATTTCAATGATGCTTTATCATTTTTATTTACTTATTTATTTCTATTGCTTTCAAAAGATATTTTAAATTACCATTCTATTTTATTTCATTTATTTTAATATATCCATTCAAATCTTCATACATTTTTTTTAATAAGTTTGAATTATTCTTTTTTTATATTATGTTCTTTTAGTTTTGGTTTTATTTTCATATTTTAAACAGCTCCCAATGTTAATGCTATTTATTTTCATATAATTTTATTTCAATAATTTTGTAGCATTTTATTATTGTTTCCCATCATTTTTAATATAAAATTCGATTCACTATTCATTTTTATTTCTATTTTTTAATAATTTCATTCAAAAGTTTGTTCAAATGTTTAACGACTTTGAATCATATTTATATATTTATATAAAAGTGGAAATCCATTCTTTATTTTTTTTAATTTATTTTCATTTTCTAAATATTTCACGATTTTATGGTATTCATGTATATTTTAAATAGTAGCAATAAGTAGACTAATATACCGTATTTTAAACCATATTTATTTTCTTGGTGACTTCTTTCCTCGGTTACTGTTTATATCAATGGATTTCACAATGATTTGTTTAAAAAAAGTATTTTACCTGTTTTTCAATATTTTCATGAAAGCTATATATAATATAAAAAGAGGATCTATGCCCTCAATGATTAACATGTGGCAAATGATGATGTCATTTATCAAAATTGCTTAAATGGAGTTCAATTGATGAGGTGGATTCTTCAATTGGTGAGTTGTCAATTTTATTTTGGTATGTATTTTAGTTATTTCCTATTTAACATTTATACACTCATTTAAACAATTACCACGTGTATTTAAACAATTACCACGTGTATACACAATTGAAGTTTTAACATCTTCAATTTTGATCCCAAATATTTTCATCTCTTTTATTTGTGGACTTCTTTCCATAATTATTATTGCATTCCAATTTATCACTATAAAACATTGTTTTAATATATAGAATGTCATTAAACTTTATTTTAAATTATGAAACAATTTATACACTTTAGGAATTTCATGTTCTTTGTATTTTTTGCCAACCATGAAAAATATTTTTAAAATACCAATTGTTATTAAAATAATTTATATTAATGGAAACGTCGTAAATTTAATACTTACTTAAATATAAATATTATTAAATTCAATTTATTATGCAAGTTTTATTTAATTATTATTTTTCATTAATTTAAATTATTTTATCATATGTGATTAAAATATACGGAGAATGCTGTTATTAAAATAATTTAAATTAATGAAAAACATCGTAATTAAAATAGTAAATTTAATAGTTACTTAAATATACATATTATTAAATTTAATTTATTATGCAAATTTTATTTAATTATTATTTTATTTATTTAATTATATTACTTTGCAAATTTTAATATAATACTTATTTCAATGGAAAAAATAAAATGCTTATTTTAATGGAAATACTATACATCGTAATAGAATGCTTATTTAATTATATTGTTTTGTAATAAGTATGTTTATTACGTATTAAAAAAATCTAATCTATCTACATAATCAATAATGGGAAAATTCACAATAAAAAATGTCACCTTCCATTTTGACCCCATTTATTTTCTTTATTTGACTTTGGTTCACTTTCCTTTTACACTATCCCATGCACAATAATCTTATTTTGAATTATTTATTCTATAAGTTTCATTGCATATAAATAATTAACTAAAGATTATATCTACATACCTTATATAATAAACTACTTACATTTTCATCACGTAAATTAATTGCATATAAGGTATATAAATACAATTGCATATTTATATACCATATAAATTAATATATGCAATTAATTTGAATTAATTTGAATCCAAATGACTAAATAATCTTTATCTACATACCTTATATAATCAATTATTAACATTCTCACATTTACATACCTTTTGATTTTTCAATTAGCGGTAATTTGAATTAATTTCCCTACAAATGAGGTATAATGATTTCTTTCCATTTTTTCCATTTATATTGTCCTTAATTATTTAGATTGTCCAAATCGTTTGAATTTTTATAATTGAAATTGCACAATTAGTGTTAAAATTTCTTTCTTAATTAAATGATTTATTTTCCTTATACAACATATTGAAACAAACTATATAATGTCATATTGGCTTCACTCATTTTCTTCATCCTATTTATTCAAAACTTCATATTGCTATGCTTATAAAACCAATTATACATTGTTACCTTTTTTTACCAAATTCAACACAAGTTATAAAACCCCGACCATTTCCATCACACTCATCACATTCACCCAACAAATTACACAAGTAAGTTTAATTTTTTTTGGGTCTATTAATTGTTTTCGTATGCTTTATGTTTATTCATTTTTTTATGACATTTTCGATTAATGGTATTCAATTAATTACCTAAATTAATTGGTCATATATTAGTGGGTTATTATATTTTCGATTTTTCATCCCTATTAGTGGGTCATATATATGCCTAAATTAAAATAATATATATTTGCTCAATTATATGAGATGGTTGCAAATTAGGTAATTCCGTTTTATTTAAGCTAACTAATTAATTTGTTTGATTATTTTAAGTGTATATATGAATATTTACAATTTGGTGTTAGTTAATTGATGAGTATCTTTTTTTCAATATTTAACTATGTAGAATGCAATCTTTATTTGATGAAATAAAATAATAGTGTTCAAATAAAAAAAAAAAATAAGACTAGGAATGAGTATATATGTATGTATAATATCACACGATTATTATGATACTTTCCATTAGTATACATATCTAGAATTATATATATTTTCCATAGTAATTAAATTAAGAATCTTAATTTACAGTTTTAATTATATATTTAAGCACTGCACTAATCTTTGTTTTTTTTTCTTTCTACATACGCATGCTACTATCAAAACTTGATCAAATAATGATTATCACAGTTGGTTAGGCACAAAACTGAATAGTTCATAATTAATTGAACTGTCGACGCATCAGAAGTATACGAATATACAAATTCATTTTTTGTTGGATTTGATGGTTGTTTTAATTAATTATTGTGTGTTTGCAAAGTTAAGAACAATTTAAATAATATACAATCAATACCATGTCTTTCTTGGTCAAAATCATTGGCATATCATGCGATTTAATTGCTATGTCCTTTCAATATTTTGATGGAAGAACCAGTTTATGTTTATCATCAGAATTTAATATACACATTTTTTTCTGTTATACCAATGTTGGCATCTAATTGTAATCTGAATGCATCATTGTATCCTTTCTAGATGGACGATACAGCGAAATCACCGAATTCACAGAATACATCCATTCTCTATGATGTACCTATTGGTAAGACTTTAATAAATAATACAAATTTAATTATTTTCGTTCATATGATAATAATCTATAAAATATATTTTACTTCTCATTTCATATGTACATTTGTTTAACTGTATAATCAGTATATTATTCGGAAAAATAACTTTAATTAACATTTATTTTTGTCAATTTCTTATTGTATTAGATGATTTTTTTTCAATACACGTTCGTTTTTATTCCTTTTTTTTATGTATTTAGAATATTCATCGCAACCGGTTGACAAAAAAGTTGCAAAACCTAAGCGCAAGATCAACACCGACAGTCCGCGATTTTCGCCAAATGTAGTTGTTGGTAACGTTTTACAATAAAATAACCTATCTTTTCATATTTCACAATACTTATTGTACGTTTTAATACATATGTTATTGGTTGACTACAACCGTTGATTTTCTACACTTAAGATTTGTAGTTCTATTATGAATCTTATGTAGTAATTTCTTTCAGGTACCTTTAATGCTAAGAGATCATCAATATTAAGGAAAAAGATTGCTTTTGGGTATAATGATTTATGAAGCAATATGTCAGAAAGTAAGAATTGTACTATTTATTATATATATAAAATAACAATATAATTGTATAAGTATTCGCATAATTTCAACTTCTACGAATGTACAGTTGTCAACAATTCGAATGTGCTGCCTGCTCAACAATACTCCATGAAAGAGAATTGGCACCCAAGAGCGCGGGATACTCGCGAAGTGACTAATGGTGTGCATGCTACACTACTACTTAACATTATAGTTTGGTATATTTACTTATTGTTAATGTGTACCGTCATATAATCTCTTATATATTGTCAACACACTTTAGACCACCTTGATAACGGAAAGGGAAAAAATATCATGGACGAAGCCATAAAACCGCAAGATGCTTCATTTTATGGAATGAGTGGTGTTCATAAGCGATCTGCTTGCGTTCTTAGAGACATAACGAATGGTTAGTTATTAACCTCATCTGACATTTAAATACCACCATTTACATTTATATGACGTTTGAACTTTAAAGTAACGATTCAACTGTACGAATAGAATAATAATTTTATTTGACATCATGTTCGAAATAGACCTTCTCTTAACCAACATGAACACGTTTAAATTATATAGATTGTATATATTTGTTTTACCTATATTGAACTAAATATTTAACATGTTTACTTTTTGCAGTTAATCAAGAAACGGTACAACAAGTTCCTTCTGAAAAAAGGAAATTGCTACATGATGCTTTTAATACACGACGTGTTGTTCGGACGCAATCGAGTTGGATTCTCAGTGATGTTTCAAATGGTGAGTTAATGACTTAAACTTAATATTTCAAATAAGTTTGCTTTTCATATATTTTACAATTTTTATATTAAATTTCCTTACAATTGATTATATTTTCACCCAAAAGGAGAAAAACAAGCAATTGAAAAGGGAAAGGGAATTATCATCGAACACGGAACATCGCATGAAGACGCATTTCATGGAATCCACGGTTTTCAAACTCCATTGAGCTGCGTTACATCGGACATACTTAATGGTAATAATGCACTCAATAACCTTTACGACTGGCACGCACACACGCTACATAATTCGTTATTGTTTAATGACATTTTAAACATCAACTACCATGAAATTAGACCATATTAAATACTTCATTATTTTACCATTGTTTTAAAATAATAATAATAAAAAAGGCTAACATTTAAAGAAAAAGTTACATATACAAAATGATAATTTATAAATTGAAATTAATTTTTTTTTTCTATTGTTCCATCTTATTAACAAAATAGGAAATTCAACTCATCAAAAGTATGTACAAAACCTACAAACGGATGAGGTGCAGGGATTAAATGTTGCAAACGTACAATTGGCACATGCGACGTTTCGTGGAAAAACTATCATTGGAACCCCGTCGAGTACAACTAGAAAAATCCAATTTCCTATATATAAACCAAATGTTGTAGAATCTTCAACAACCAACAAGCTAAATCGTGCAATATTAGCGAAACAAAATATCCATACTACCGTCGACGGGAGCACGTTACCCTATGAAGGTGATTTCATTAATTAATATTTCTTATACCATCAAAACATAAAATTAAAGAACATTTTTTTATTAAATGTTTTAACTTTTAATTTTATCCCGGGACAGATACTAACCGGCACTCTTATGATCCTAAATCGGGAACGTATGACATTCCGGTTAACTCTCTAAATTCATTCTACGAAACCACAAGAAGGTGATTTTTTTTTTTTTTTTTTGATATGCACGTTCGTGATTACAGGCATGGAAAGAGAATTTCAAGGAGTAAAAAAAGGATACAATCGGTTGCACGTGGATTAAGTATGGATAATACACCAACTATACTAGAAGACGAGGATTCTCAAACATTACGAGATGTCACATCAGACAGTGGAGGTAACTACTGTTTTTTTTTTTAATAACACGCGGTTTGCCAAATACATTGTTCTAATATACAATAACCAATTTCAGTGAATGATAAAAAAATATTTTTATTGACAGATTCTGAGTATGTTTCCAACGACGACAATAGCGATGATTCAGCTGATTATGAAGGTAATAACTTTTTTTTAATCTTTAAACGTTATATTATTATTATTATTTAGTCTTTCAAATTTATGGATTATTGTAATTTGCCATTATCGTATTTGATTCGATGTTACGCTATACCAGATTACGACGATCTGGGAGATCAGTCGTATGAATGTCAATCGTGTGGTGCAATGATGTGGTACGCTGAGCGCCTTGATAAGCACAGGAACACATCGAGACCCGAGTTTTCTCTGTGTTGTCAGAAAGATAAAGTACAACTGCCTTATATGAAAAATGCCCCACCTACTCTTTCCAATTTACTTTTCGGTACGGATAGGCAGAGCAAACATTTTTAGGACAATATTCGTTCTTACAACATGATGTTTGCTTTCACATCACTTGGCGGAAAGGTCCAAACATCTATTAATACGGGTGCTGGACCATACACATTTTTACTTCAAGGTCAGAATTACCACATGTTGGGTAGTATGTTACCAGAGGAAGGTGCACGACCTAAATTCGCACAACTTTACATCTTCGATACGGAGAATGAAGTCCGCAATAGAATTGATGTTGTCAGGTAAAATTATTTTCATTTTTCGTGCACCCATTTACAATACATATGAAGTATTTCGAGGCGAGTGCAATTCTTTAATCATTTTTTATTGTAGGTCTGGAAATGGCTCGAACAACCTTGATACTCAAATTGTTGCATCCTTGAAGGATATGATCGACGAGAACAACGTCCTTGCTCAGTCGTATAGAGCTGCGCGTGATCGATTTTCGAGAGAAGGCCTGCAAGGTGTTAAGCTAAAGCTGGTTAAGAGTCGTAGCACCAATGGGAGGACTTACAATCTCCCTAATGCGAGTGAGATAGCAGCGTTGATAGTTGGAGATTTTGACACGCAAGAGGGTGTTAGAGACATTGTGGTTGAGACTCAGTCCAAGAAGCTGCAACGCATTAGTGAACTGCACCCATTGTACCTGCCGTTCCAGTATCCGCTCATATTTCCTTATGGGGAAGATGGATATAGAGAGGATATTGACTTGAGAGAGTCTTTTAGAGGTAACAGTGGAAAACGAAAGAACTTAACCATGCGAGAATACTTTGCTTACCGTTTCCAAAAAAGAAGCATCGACAGTCCAGTACTGCTGAATTCAAAAAAGTTGTTCCAACAGCTTGGAGTGGACGCGTATTCTATGATTGAGTCGCAAAGGTTGAATTTTATTAGGCACAACCAGGACCAGTTGCGTGTGGACATGTACAAAGGCATTGAAGAACGTTTTTTCAAAGGGGACACTGAGGGAAAATCAGTTGGAAAACGCATAATTCTGCCAGGTTCTTTCATTCCTGGACCTCGGTACATGTTCAATAATTTTGTCGACGCACTTCAAATTTGTAACTGGATTGGTTTTCCATCATTATTCATAACTATTACATGCAACCCACAATGGCCTGAAATACAAAGGGTCCTCAATGATACAAGTCTCAGACCGGAGGATCGCCCTGATATTCTATGTCGCGTATTCAAAATGAAGTTGGACAGTTTGATGACGGATTTCAAGAATGGACATATATTCGGACGAATTAGAGCACGTAAGTCATGAACTCTTTTTAATAAATTACTTTGCGAGTAAATTCATTACATCAAGTATCGTATTAAAGTATGCATATTAATTTACGTAATTTACGTAATTATTTTTATACGCAGATGTGTGTACTATAGAATTTCAGAAGCGTGGTCTGCCTCATGCACATATATTGTTGTGGTTGGATAACGATGCCAAACCTAAGTGCTCCGCCGACATCGACACGATGATCTGTGCGGAAATTCCAGACAAAAAAACCGACAGAAAGATGTACAACTTGGTAGAGAAATACATGATACACGGCCCGTGCGGCCATGCGAATTTGAATTCACCGTGCATGAAGGATGGCGTTTGTACGAAGAGGTTTCCAAAAAAGTTTGTACAGCGAACCGAGGCCGACCCTGATGGTTACCCGGTATATAGGAGAAGGGATGATGGAAGAACGGTTAGGAAGAAGAATACTATTCTTGATAATGGATTTGTGGTTCCCTACAACCGTGTGTTATTGAGTAAATACCGAGCCCACATCAATATTGAGTTGTGCAACCAGAGCAAGTCAATAAAGTATTTGTTCAAGTACGTCAACAAGGGAGACGATCGTGTCACGGCAACATTTTTCCAACCTCCGTCTACGGACGCTGATCCTGCTGTTCGTGATGAAATCAAAATGTATTATGATTGCAGATATTTGTCTGCGTGCGAGGCAATGTGGAGGATATTTGCATTTGAGATACATTACCGAGATCCACCCGTCATTAGATTGAGTTTCCATCTCCCCGACAATCAACCGTTGGTATTCAATGAGAACCAATCATTAAAGAGAGTCTTGGAAAGGACAACCGCGAGGCAAACCATGTTCTTGGCGTGGTTCGAGGCGAACAAGACCTACCCACCAGCTAGGGAGTTACGGTACGCAGAGTTTCCCCAACATTATGTGTACAAGGATGATTCTCGGGTGTGGGTGCCAAGAAAGAAGAGGTTTGCCATTGGAAGAGTCACCAATGTGCCCCCGACAAAGGGAGAAGACTTTTATCTTAGATTGTTGCTCAACGTCCAAAGAGGGTGCAAAAGTTACGAGGACATCAGACGGTGGGTGGCAATGTTTACGCGACGTTTAGGGATGCGTGCTATATTTTGGGGTTGTTGGAAGATGAATAGGAGTACATTGGTGCAATTAGAGAGGCATACGGTTGGGCAAACGGACACTTCCTCAGATTGTTGTTCGCTGTTATATTGCTTTCTAATAGTTTGAGCAGACCGGAACATGTTTGGGAGAAATGTTGGTCCAATTTGTCTGATGATATTACATACAAGCACCAGAAACGTCATAATAATCCAGGTATCGATTAGTTTTGTGGTATTTTACAAAATTTTGTTCAAGTTCTTATTTGTCCGGAACACATTTGTCTTACTATCTATACCTTTGCAGATTTGACTCTATCGGATGATAGTTTGAAGAACTACGCCTTGATAGAAATCGAGAAGATCCTACAGAGCAACGGCAAGAGCTTGCGGAATTTTGACTCTATGCCGATGCCACTAGATTCGTCGATGGATGACACGGAGAACCGATTAGTGCTCGATGAGTTGGACTACGATGTATTTGCGATGACTGAAGAACTGAAACGATATCTTTCTTCTATCACAGATGAGCAGAGAAGGGTCTACGATGCCATCATGGATGCTGTGTCGAAGAATTGTGGCGGGATGTACTTCCTCTACGGTCACGGAGGTACCGGAAAGACATTTATATGGAGAACGTTGTCCGCTGCTGTCCGTTCGAAGGGGGAAATAGTTCTTAATGTTGCTTCGAGTGGCATAGCATCATTGCTGCTTCCCGGTGGCCGGACCGCTCATTCTAGATTTGGACTCCCCATCATTGTGCACGATGGTTCCACCTGCAACATTACACAGCAGAGTCCACAAGCAGAATTGCTTATAAAGGCCAGGCTCATTATATGGGACGAGGCACCGATGATGCATAGATATTGTTTCGAAGCGCTTGACAAGACCTTGCGATCTATCACGCATGTTCCCAAACCATTCGGTGGCAAGGTTGTCGTTCTTGGCGGAGACTTTAGACAGATTTTACCTGTTGTACTGAAGGCATCAAGGCAGGACATTGTTCACGCTACGATCAACTCATCTCAGCTTTGGGAAGAATGTAAGGTTCTTAAGTTGCATACGAATATGAGGCTTCAATCAAGTTCTAATACATCGGAAGTTGAAGAAGTAAAGGAGTTTGCTGATTGGATACTGAGTATCGGTAATGGGGAGGCGGGAGAGCAAAACGATGGTGAAGCGTCTGTTGAGATTCCCGAGGACATGCTAATTCCCGATTCCGAAGATCCATTATTGGAGTTGTTGCAGTTTGTATATCCGGATTTGTTGAGTAACATATCAAATCCCGATTACTTCCAAGGGAGGGCGGTGCTTGCGCCGACTAATGACTGCGTTGAGTTTGTCAACGAATATTTATGTTCCCTCTTTCCCGGCGAAGAGAAGTTGTACCTCAGTGCGGATAGTATGTGCAAGGATGAGATGAGTTCGGAAGAGAATGCTCAAATTTATACGACCGAATTCCTCAACACCGTGTCTTGCTCCGGTCTCCCTTCACATAGGCTGAAACTCAAGGAAAATGTTCCTGTTATGCTCATACGAAACATCGACCAGGCGAGAGGCCTTTGCAATGGAACCAGACTTCAAGTTGTTAGAATGGGAACTCATGTTCTTAGCTGCAAGGTTCTATCTGGCAAAAATACCGGTGATGTTGTTTTCATTCCTCGGATGACGTTGGTCCCGTCGAACTCTACTCTGCCAATTAAGTTCCAGAGGCGACAATTTCCACTGATGATTTCATTTGCAATGACCATCAACAAGAGTTAGGGTCAAACACTTTCCCACGTTGGTTTGTATCTACCCAGACCAGTATTCAGCCACGGTCAGTTGTACGTTGCACTCTCGAGAGTCAAGAGTAGATCTGGCATAAAGATCCTAATCAAGTCCGAATCCGGTGGGTTGTCGAGTTCAACTAGCAACGTTGTTTACAAAGAAGTATTTCAGCGCATATGAAGGTATATGTCGTAAATTACCGTCTATTTATATTATTATAACGATATTTAGTCTTATTAATGTGTGTATATCCTTTTTATGTTTAGGTATGTTTGCACGTGATTTTGTATTTCTAGCATATTCGCTGCATTCGCATTTGGTAAGTAATGTAATGTAAATATTATTTGATTACGCATTATTGTCATTGTTGTTTCATAAAGAATGCATTGAACTCAATTCATGCGAAGTAAGTAAATTTTGCAGGTTATCTACTATGTACTGTTAGATTTAAGCGGACCAACGAGGTGGTGCAGTGCGTTTGATTCAATTACTTTAATTAGTTCTAGCATTCTCATATGGAAGACATGTTGAACGGAATATTTTATGCATTATGTTATAAACAAATATTATGTTGCTTTGGACCAAATGTTTTTGTTTAACAACATATTTGCTTATATTAGTTTTATATTTATTTTGAAATATTTTTCTTTACGATCCTAAATTGTTCAATAGTAAATTTGTTCTCGAAGGTGTTCACCGTGCATCGCACGGGTGAAATACTAGTACATGATAATTTGAAATAGTAATTGACAAATATACTGCATAATCTACTGTATAATTCGAAATATACTATATATTAAATAATGTATTCGAAATATACTGACAAACATATTGCATTTAGATTGTTAAAATATACTGCATTTAAATTGTTAAAATATACTGCATTTAAATTGTTAAAATTTCAAATTTCAAAATATTGCATATTTATTAAATAGTATAATTATTTTTAATTTGAAATATAGTATGATAAAAATTATATACAAAAAATATTGTATATTTATTAAATAGTTCAATAAAAAATAAAACATTTTATTATTATTATTTTTAATGGAATGGATATTCGAATATTCCAAACTATCGAAAATTAAAAAAAAAAAAAACAACAACGTATTTCTTTATTTTAATATTTTAATATTTAAAAAAATATTTTTTTCTGAAAATTATTTGAATATTCGTAAAAAAATTGAGTTTCATGAATTTTTTCAATAAATATATTTTGAAATACTGAAAATTTAAATAAGATTTTTTCATTTCAAATTTAAAAAATATTAACTTTGGAAATAATATATATATATACATGTGGTAATTATTAAATGAGTGTGCGAGTGTGAAATAGGAAATAACTTAAAAATATACCAAAATAAAATTGACAACTCACCAATTGAAGAATCCACCTCATCAATTGAACTCCAACTAAGCAATTTTGATAAATGACATCATCATTTGCCACATGTCAATCATTGAGGGCATAGATCCTCTTTTTATATTATACTAGTAACTCACCCGTGCGATGCACGGAGATTTATTCAAAAAATAAAAATGAGTTAATGTAGAAAACCAACGAACAAAAAATATGTCGAGAATGTAAAGAATACAATTGAAAAAAAAAAATCCGTATCTTAATTTATCAGTAAAAAGTTTGCATAAAAAAATAAACAGACAATGTTCTAAATACCATCCACGTTGAAATGTAGCCTATAACTCCGAGAGTGAAATCAAAGCAATGCACCAGTCTTGCACATAAATCTGAATGTTTTTAAAGAAGACCACAAAATTACAATAAGATCTACGATTAGAGGACGAATAACCTGTTATTTTTCATCATTTTCAATATATAAGTTGAAGACATTACGTAAATAAAGAATACTGATATATATATGTTAGCATATAGGAAAAAAAATACTCAATTATTCGAGTGGAAATATATTACATGCTGCAAATAAAATTGAACATACATAGATTCACATTGAAATGATAAAGAAATATGAACATGTTATCGATAAATGATGTTTGTCAATGTGTACATTTATATTCTTTCGAATACTTCTTTGTACACGCGTTGCAAATAACATTGGACAACTCACCGGATTCTCCCTTGATTAAAATCTTTATGCCAGATCTACTCTTCACTCGAGACAACGTTACGTACAATTGACCGTGACTTAAACATGTCTTGGAAGGTACAATCCGACGTACGAAAGAGTTTGGCCTTGACTTTTGTTGATTGTCATGGCAAATGATATAATCACTGGATATTATCGTCTTTAAAATTTAACTGGCAATGTGGAATACGAAGGTATCAAAGTCATCCGAGGAATAAATACCATGTCGCCAACATTCTTACCGGACAATACCTTGCAACTAATTACGTGTATGCCCAATCTTTCAACATGGAGACGAGTTCCATTGCATAAACCTCTCGCTTCATCAATATTCTTAATGAGCATGACATGAATGTCTTTCTTTAATTTCAACTCATGCGGGGGAAGACCGGAGTACGATATTGTATTGAGAAACTCGGTCGAATAAATTTATGCATTAATCTCGGAACTTGCTTCGTCAATGCACAGACTGTCAGAGCTTAGGTACACCTTTTCCTCTTCTTCAATTAACGGCAACAGATAATCGTTCACATATGTAACACTCTCATTTTAGACCCTAGAATGGCCCTCCCATGAAAGAAATCAGGATTGGTAATGTTATTCATTAAATCCGGATACACGAACTGTAGGAGCTCTGAAAAATCATCCTCCGAATCTCGAATCATCATGTCAAGGGAATCTTTTCATGAAAAAAAATATTTGATTAGACAAATGTCCTCAAAATAATAAGATCAAAAGTTAATATGTAATACAAAATAGTAGAAAAATATGCAAAATAACGATTCCGTTTGGTGTAAGTAATGGATTAAGCCGAAATAAGTGATAAACATAAAATACCGAATAATGAAAGTTTAATATACAAAAAGCGAGTACATCATTTGTCCCAACTTGTACAACCATAATGCTCAAAAAATATAATTCTTCAATTGACCAAAATCAATTGTGAAAATTGTATTCGATAACAACTGTCTTAACCTCATGTAACTAATCAAATAAATTGCGAGTGACCTGCATATTTTGAACAGCCATTATATGAAATAAGTAACACATTAGCAAAACATTGTCAGTACATATATTTAAGGATATAAAGTCATTTCACCCGTGCGATGCACGGGGCAATTTAGAAAAGGAAAATACATTACAGATAAAATAATTGAATTGTAACTTTGAATAGTTGATATATAATACGATATAATCCAAAAGCATAAAAAACAATATCCATTCCATTTGATTTAACTACCAAATTAAACAAAGTATATGAGAAAAGAAAATATAAAATTCGAAAATTGTGATATAAACAATAAAATACATCATTTGACTCAAGTGTTATAATTATCTCGTCTAATGTACTCAAATCCTTAACATGAAACTTAGTTATCAAAATAGTGTTTTATAGCACATGCATCGACATTACCTATAACTCATCTAATACCTTGCGAGTAATCTGCACAATTTTTATCGTTCATAAGCAATCAATGATACGCATTACTGAAATATAAATCACCTAAAAGTGTAAGAAATAAATGCAATTTATATTAAATTACCTTGATAAAAAAGAACTTCGTGGGAGGCGACAATAAGATTGACATAAAATGCAAAATAATCTATTACTGCAAAACTAATTATTTATATAAATAATACAAAAAATAAATGTGCCATTCAATCACAATTCACTGCAAAACTTTCTTGTAGACAACATTGCAATTAACAGTAGACTCCATATTCTGGCATGATTAATATCTTTATACCACATCTACTCTTAACTCTCGACATTGCGACGTATAATCGTTATGCCACCTCTAATACTGATACTGATGCTAATACTAATACTAATATTAATACTAATCTTAATACTAACACTAATACTAACACTAATAGTAACACTAACACTATCACTAACACTAACACTAACACTAACATTAATACTAACACTAATACTAACACTAATACTAATACTAATACTAATACTAATACTAATACTAATACTAATACTAATACCAATACTAATACTAATACTAATAATAATACTAATACTAATACTAATTACTTCTATCTATATAGATTTCAATACGGTGATTTATAGATGATATAATAGTCAATACTTCCAAAACATAAATAAAATAAAAATAAAAAATAAAAATAGATAAATAATGGCTACGGGGATACCCTGAGGTAAGAATAATTAACTTACAAACCTCTGCAGTTTTGGTCCGCCCCCCAAAAAAAAAAAAAACTAACAACCCGTTATACAACCCAAATGAATGAATGTCTTATCTAAATTACGCGTTTACTAAACAAACAAACTATATGGGTAAATTACGGGTACCCTTGAGGTAAAACAAACTATTACATTTAACCCCTATGGGTATATTTCATATACCCCTGCGGAGATTTGGAAATTCATAAGAATATTCCATGGAGTCTTCAAGATTCCATTACTCATGACTCCGTAGGGGTATAATTATAAGACAGGGAAATAGGTCAGGTGGTACTTATAATTACCAAACTATAGGGATTTGTAAGTTATTTAGTATTACCTCAAGGGTGCACGTAATGTATCCGTAAATAAAATATTGAAACCATTTCAAAACTAAACCCAATCAATCCAAATATTGATATTGAATAATCTATTCGTTCAATTTTTTATTGGTTTGTGAAAATAATATGGAAATATTTTACGATTTTTTTACATAAAAACTTACTTAGAGCAACTCCAATGCTACTAAAATTGAATTATCGAATATTTATTTGATATTTGAGTTAATATTTTACTATTGTTTAAAATTCATCGACTCCAACTATGGTTATCAAATTAATTATCAATTGGAAGTTTATGGGTGATTTTATTTGTAATTGCCACATGTCCACTTTTGATTGGATGTTTAGATAGTT